TCGTGTCCACATTGCGATCGACACGGGGGCACGTGACATGCGGCAGGACCCGGTTGCCGTGTCAGAGGAGGAGATGGGAGATCCTTCCAACGAGACGCAGCGCGACCTGGTTCGTGCAGAGGAGCTAGCCTCCAACACTGATGTGATAGTGACGGAGGAGGATACAGGGTTCAGGATCACTCATCCCCGGTCGCCAGCGCCGGTTGTTGGCACAGAGGAGGAGACGGAGTTCGGAGGACCCGGTCCACTCCGCCAGGCGCAGACTCGGTGCACTCCAGCAGGCGCCCCAGTCCACTCCACAAGAGCGGGTTTGGAGGACGGCGAGGCACGATGTGAGCCGCCTCCTCACACGAGTGACGGCGGTCTAGAGGAGGGAGAGGTTGCACCCACTCCCACTTGTGGAAAGGACGGGGAGGAMGAACGTCCTCCGACGGAYCACCACGTCGGCCTCGACTGCCCCCCCGACAGTCTTCCGCCCACCGACGAGCTATTCACCATGGATTCTGCCTTGGCATCTCTGCCCGATATATCGCTACTGATATCTCCCACTTTGTCGGTTGTGGCACCACCGGAGCCTGCTAGACGAGATGACGCGCGTCGTGACAGAGGGTTCGACGAGTTCGGCGGCGACACGATACTGCATCCTCCAGAGTCCGGCACTCCCGCCATTTTTCATGTCGGTGCACCGTGGGCGGTGGAGCAGGGGTTGGCGGAGGAGGTAGCACGGAACCGTCGTGGCGGACCGCACGTCGCAGCTCAACGTAGTCTGGAAGGTTGACTACAGGCAGCGTCTGGAGATTTTTTGGCGCAGGGGGGTCATGGTTCACAGCTGTTATCGGACGGCGTGTCATCAGTCCATCCACCAGAGGAGGGCCCGCAGCAAGAGCCACATCGAGGGCCAGCGGAGACTTTAGAGGCGAGGCCTCCCGAAGTTATCCGCTCGGACGGAGGCGAGGGCGTGAGYGAGGATACAGCGCAGCCAGGGAGCGCAGATGGTGGACGGTCCTTCAGGGGGGGCATCTAGCGCAGAGGGTCATCGACCGCACACCCCAGCATTGTCAGGCCCAGCACACATGACGTTGGAGACGGGCACACAGATGAGCCTCAACCGCATTCGACGGGGATGCGTGACATTATGTGTCCACCACCCTCACGCCCCTCTGTCACTGATCCTGCCGCCCACGGGCAGGCCGCGCCGAGCGCATTGCCTACGAGGTCTTTCTACGACGGTGCGGGCATGGACCGGAGGGCGGGCGATATCGGACAGACATCAGCATATGGACCGGCAGATGTGCCCGCGGGGGCGCGATCGATCGGCAACGTCGATGGCACTTGTCATGATTCCATGAAAGCTTACGAGGAGCAGCATGGGAGGCCTATACGGGCCAAGACGAGCGATGTCAACGACACCAGGACAGCAACTGCGAGGCTGTCACAGGCGAGGAAGAAGGGAACAGGTGTGTCGATTCCGTATCACCGGCGCCGCCTGCATCCTTTTTTTCGCAACAGGGACGAGACCAGATAGATGCCAGCTGCCGCAGATGGACAGGGGGGGGCGGAGGGAGGTGACAGAGTGGACGAAGCAGGTCGAGGAGAGAAGAGACGAGGTGGCACGATCATCCTCCACGACGACAGCTCCACAGCCGCTGAGGGCGGTGAGACCACAGGCGCCGACGATCCTGATGACTCCGATTACGTCCC